TGGACCCTGGAATGCTGTTATTTTTGTTATAACTGGATGTCATGCCCCGGCCGCGAGTTGGGCGTTAACCGTCCGCATTTCTATGGGTAATTAGAAGCAGAATACTTAAAAGTATGATCTATCAAATGTTAAAATTTTTCAAAAGAATAAGTTATTTCATCCCAAGATGATCCTAAGACCTTTTTTTTGCTTAAAGATACAAAAATAGAGGTTTGTTAATATTTAACTCTTTGAAACAAAGTAAATTAATTTTTAACTTTTTAGTTAACCGTAACTGAAATAAATTGACCGATAGCCGTAAAAGAGCCAAAATTTTAGCCGAAAACCGTAAAGCCACCACCCCATTGAGACCCTCATATAGAAGAAGAAGAAAATACCTTCAAAGACGACATGGCCTCTGAAAACACGAAAAAAAGTACGCCGCTTGTAATCGTCCTGAATGGTGGTACTTTAAAAAGTACTAAACAGAGCTGAACTTGAACAGCATTTCTAAAACATTTCAAGGTACTTACCTTATATCAATCGCGATGTTAAACTTCCAGTGCTTTCCCTTGGACACTTCATTTCTTTCAGTTTTGCCACCGAAGATGTAATGCATCAGTCAATTCCAGCTGCACCCAGTCCCCCCGCGGGCTACTGAGGGGCATTTGCTTGCCTTGTCAGTCCCGGGGGTAGGACATTTGCACATTTTGTGCTGCTCGGGGGCCGGGCATCTGCCAACCCCGGGGCCAACCCCGAGCTTTTGACACGCACGCGGTTTCCTATCAGAATATAACTACACAGAGGATTTTACTGAAAAAAAAACAAGCAGATTGGCTCATTTGTCAAGGACGGGAAAAAATTGAAGAGGTTTGTAAAGGCATGTTCTCGATTTTATGTATGCATTTCTTCATTGCTTATCAAACCAGAATTTATACATTTTTATAGCGAAACTCGGGAGCTATCGACGTGAATCAACGTTGTTTTGGTTATTGAATCAAGTTTAATTTCTCCACAGTTGATATTATTTGAAGAAAATCCTTTCATATTTCTAAAACTATTCATAGCAGTTAACTTTACAGCGCACTATTAATTTTAATATCAATAATTTTATAACAATACTAAAACCACAAACTGGTGTCGTCACGGCGTGAACTCTTACTTAGAATTTCACTACTACAAAGGAAGACGTTAATTGAAGCAAAAATCGCACATTAAAATGCTTAAAATGGCACTACTCGACTGTTCGATCAATGAAAAATGTTGCAGCATTGACGGAGTACGGGGCATTTGCCCTCTTTTTTCGTCCCCACCCCGGGAGATTTGACAGCTCAAGAGTCCCCACCCCCGTTTTTTGCATCTAAGGTAAAAAAATGCTAATGCCCGGGGATCAGCCCGGGTCAGCCCGGGTGGGGGGGGGTGCGGGGCGCAGCTGGAATTGACTGATGCATAAAAGGTGTAAATTATTTTCCTTCTTGAGCAAATGACCAATTTGAAAAAAGATGTTACAGATAAACGGCTTGTAAATTCAGTGAAATACCACTATTTATCCTTACCATTAGTGTGAAGCTTGTTTACATGTAAGGAAGTCTGAAAACAAATGAAAAAAGAAGCACAAGGTACAAAAAAAACTGTCGAAGGTTCAAACGAGTATGACTGACCTTGCTTCCTATTCGCTAACGCAATGACAGTTCTGACAGTTGACTTTGAAATGGCTTTCTGGAGCGCGCACTCAGGATAAAAACAAACATTGGTTGTCTTTACACAAGGCTGTTAAGTAAGACTTAGGAGCTGCTAAGTTTTACTTAACCAAAATTCGTGTGTGAACTCCTAAGTAAAATCTCAAGTACCTTAACTTTGCATCTTATTAAAGTCGGAAAGTTGAAACGATTCAAGACAGTTTCAAGCGACTTGAAATATTTCTTAGCTTATTTAGGCTCTAGTGTAAAGACTACCAATATTATTGCTGTTTTCTTTTTTTTCGACTGATTTTTATTCAATTATGTGATTCAAGGAAAATTCATTACCTGACTCGTGAATTTCTCGTTAAATTGCACTTGAAAACCGATATCGCGATGAGTGCGATATGGGTTTTCAAGTGCAATTTAACGTGCAATTCACGAGTCAGGTAATGAATTTTCCTATAGCATACAACAGATACAAGGAAGACAAGGATACATTCAAGTTATGCAAATCGAGAGGAGTACGCGTGAAAGATCCCACAAGTGACTTGATTTTTCTTAGAAAAACCTTTTTGAAACCACTCTCCAGAGTGTTTTTTGCGAAGTCGTGTAGACGATTAATTGAAACCGGTTTTAGCCTGCCCGGATTCGTGTGGATAGGGCCAAAAAGTATTACGTACTTTTGCAAGTACAGTAACTTGTGCGATTGGGAAGCTTTTTTCACAATTTCGGCGCTGCATCGCTAATAGGCCTATCCCTTGATCCTGAAAAAGATTTACCCTTGAAAAATACTAGGAAGCATGCTACCGGGTCGATTGAGCTTAAACTTAATCTTGTGGCGAGGCAAGGCCACTGAGTAGCTTGAAAAGAAAAGTAACTACGGTAGTAATGTGTTATAATAACAATAATGGCATATGTGGCAATATTTACACACCTCGAATAATATATAGATTTAGCCAAGGCTAAAATAAACTAAATGAGTTTATTTGGAGCCAAATAAAAAATTTTAGGTCTCCCCTTCCAACTTCTTTAATGTATGGATTTTTTGCGGGTGGGGTCGTTTGCGGCTTCAAAGGCTTAGGCCTGGTTCAGACGCCGTACTTTTCATGTGCCGAACCTAACTGAATAAGTTTGACTTTGGAGCGACACTGGCGCGACATCTGACTCAGACGGCGTACCGTGTGTCGAACCTAAGTTAAGTTCGACAAAAGTTCGACAGACTCTGTCGAACTTAACGCTTTTGCCGCACCAAACTAAAACTGCCGCACCAAATTGATTCAGACGCCGCTCTTTTGCCGTACGTAATTAATTCATCAGTTAGGTTCGGCACATGCGTGGAGCGGCGTCTGAACCGGGCCTTAGAGCCTCTCGCATGTGGACTTTGAATTATCTTACAATGGTTTACGATCGCATGAGAATCACAAGACGAAATGTAAAATTACTTTTGGGTAATAATCTCGAGCTCCTATGATAAGGCCACTCGCAGTAAATTTACTTAGCCTCGATCTCATTATCTCGCGGAGACCCTTTATAAGAGGGTTTAACCTTTTGTTAATCTTCTCGGTCTGAAAGCTGACATCATGCAAGCCAAATCTTCGATAGCTGACCCGCTTATCCTTTGAACAAGCAATCGACCCGCCTCCGTCCCAATCTTCCACCTATTTTACTTGCTTTAGGTATTTCTTGTAGATTAGTTGCCTTTTTCCTCTGGCCCTCACCTTTGCTAGACCTATAAATTCATAAACATTATTTCATATTTTAACATTGATAAGATGATTTTGCAGTTTTAAAGAAAACTGGCCATTAACTTGGCCATGTTTTTAATCCCAGACCACAGTCTCGGTTTTCTTTGTTTCCTAAGTTAGGCGCTCTAGCAAACAAAGCTCGGCTGTTGGTAGTAAAGGGGGTTTATTGTTAGTGTTTTAGTAAACTGGGGAGGAGACATAAAACGAATAAACTTTATCTATGAAAATCCAGAAATTTATTCTTAACTGATTTTAAAACAAAAAAAGAACAACATAAATCAATTAATTCGATCACATTAATAGTCTTGGAAAAGAGTTCTTACCTATACGTGTGCATTACTAGTCCCCCCCCCTTTCCACCACACCCCTTTGAGAAGCTAATAGCCCCGAAAAGTAATGTTTTACAAAGGCTGGTTGTCATTCACGAAACTCTTTGGCTGCCTGCAGTTTGTTAATTATATTATTTTTTATAGCTGATGTTGATGCTCAATAACTCAATCTGTTTTTTAAAGATTTAAAACAGCAAAATCTAATCTCGGTGTGACGGTGCCTTGGCTTTGATTGCCAACCTACAACTACAGATGTCTGATGCTCAATAACTCAATCTATTTTTTAAAGATTTAAAACAGCAAAATCTCATCTTGGTGCGACAGTGCCTTGGCTTTGATTGCCAACCTACAATTATAGATGTTGATGCTCAATAACTCAATCTGTTTTTTAAAGATTTAAAACAGCAAAATCTAATTTCGGTGTGACGGTGCCTTGGCTTTGATTGCCAACCTACAACTACAGATGTCTGATGCTCAATAACTCAATCTATTTTTTAAAGATTTAAAACAGCAAAATCTCATCTTGGTGCGACAGTGCCTTGGCTTTGATTGCCAACCTACAATTATAGATGTTGATGCTCAATAACTCAATCTGTTTTTTAAAGATTTAAAACAGCAAAATCTAATCTCGGTGTGACGGTGCCTTGGCTTTGATTGCCAACCTACGACTGAAGTGTCCAGGTGTCGTAGTTTCTCTAACGCTAATTTATTCTGGAAAATAACAGCTGTAGCTGTTGAATTGTCCAGAGATTTGATGTGATTGGCACTACTTGGTGTGCAACCCGAGGGGGGGGAGAGAGGGATACTCCATATAAATAAAGCATTGTCTTGTCTTGTCTTGTCTTGTCTCGTCTATAATGGACTATACGGGAAGGCTCCGCCAAAAAGGGTATAGGAAAGGGCAGGGATTTCACAAGTTGAAGCATATGAAAGGGCTGACAGCCGTAGTTTATGGCTGTAAAAAGAGTAAACCGATGGTGCTTTATATACAGCATTTAAAGGTTATGTAGCGTTTCAAAGTAGTATGTGACAGGGGTACCATTTTTTAATAACAAGAATACGAAAGGGGTATCTTTTATGCCAAAAATGGTATATAAAAAGGTAAGGGGTTGGACCTCGGGTTAGAGCCCCCCGTATAAAATTGCGCTAAAATATAAGTTCCCACCCACCCCCTTATTAAGGCTATTAATTATTATTAAGCTGTATTTTTTGTTAACAGGTTGAAAAAGAATCAAGTGTAAGGTCTATTGTATTTTTTTTTCAGATTTCTCGACGGAAACCGAATCAAGGAAATCCCTGAAAGAGGCTTCGAGAATACGCCGAGTCTTGAAGTAATGTACGTAACAACTAAATCATAAGCATCATTCATCTTATTGGTGCCTTTGTATTGTTAACATTTGTTCTTAATTTACTCGTTACTTTACTTGTCATTCTTCACCTAAAATCCAGGTTTTTGTTCTCTTTTAGCTTGCTTCAAAATAACAACCTAACGAGAATCCCTGATCAAGCATTCAAGAAGCAAAACGCTCTCAGAGTAATGTACGTACGAAAATGATTCCCTTTGGTAGTTGTCATTATTCGCTGTACCTTTTGTACAGTAACATGGGAGGACCATAGGTTTAGGGTTATTTTATTTTAATAGAAGGAACCTATTTCAAAAATGCCGTAAAGTTTTTCAGAAACAAAATATTGCATATTCTTTCGTAATATGGAAGCAGCTTGTGGTACCCACACAAGCAAACGCTAATCAACTATATAGATTGAGTGCAAAGATGAGCACTCAAAATACGTACGCTGCACCAAAGTCGATTTTCACAGTGCGATACAATCCCACCAATTTATTCAATTATAATCCTAATTAACAAGCATTGGCTAGACATATCTCTTTAAAGCATTATACTACTGTTTATTTATTTTAATCAATTTTTCAAGGCGCTGATATCAGTTAACATAAGAACTACTAATATTTAGTTGCAGCTAAAGTCCTACAAGCGAATGTTCCGTTCAAAAACTTATAATTAAAAACAGCAAATAAACTTTAAACCAAGAACTTTAACCCATTACAAAGAAATCCACAAATTTATCTACCAAACATTAGGAGACCTCCACTTACCAATGGAGGGAGGGGGAGGGTGATTTAAGAAAAAGTAATCTCGCAAACAGGCCTAAAAATCTCATTCATTGAGCTAAATAAAAAAAGTTAGAGATGCAAGTAAATGCAGGGGATGTGTTGGTAATTTTTCCAACCAGAGATAGTCAATTGTTTTCGGTTTGCACTATTTGTTGTCAAAATCCATCGTGAAAGAGATGCCTATAAAGTTCAAACCTTTAAGTTTGCTAATGTAAGATCGATGGAACGTATAACAGTAGGCGTTGCTGATAAGACCAAGGGAACGAAGAGGCGAAAACAACAACACGCGTTTGGTGTCTGATAACATTTTCCATTTTCGGCGTTTCCTTAAAAAGCATAAATTAAATTTGGAACTTACGTTAAAGAAATTATCAGCCACTTAAGCTTCGATTCAGTCGTCTTTCCCCAGGGAGGAGGAAGATCGGACCGAGATTATAGCGGTGGAAATTCAGGCCCATTTAATTGCTTAACTAAGTTTGTAGATGCCGAATTCATTTTGCATAACGATGTTTTATATAATTACTTATCACTTACCGCTACTTTTATTTGGTTTTTGAACCATGAGTCATCCTTTGCAGATTATTCGGGTAAAAAAGGTTACGGGCAATCTAAATTTCTTATTATGAATTAATACACCTTATTCCAAAATGTTGCCAATACTAGTGCATCTTTTACAGGGAGTTGGAGGACCCCGGTAGGTGATATAACCCGCTAAGGTTGGATAACCCCCCTGTCTATGTAATATCTCATTTTAATTTGAACCAGGAGCCCATACCCTGAAAGGAGCAACTTCCACGGCGTTTTCACGGACCAGTTTATTTTCAGAACGGTTTGTGCGCGAATTTAGAATATCTTTCAAGTCCCACAAACCAGTCAGCAAAACCTACAGACCTAAAAATGATAATTTTTGCCTTTTCATGACGCTACGTTTTCCTTTTTGATATCTTTATACTTCGAATGCGTTCATAGCGTGGTGGATATTGCATTTTCGCGAGAAAAATTGCCCTAAAATGTGTCTAAAAATAGACCGGTCGGTAAAAACTCCGTGACATAGACCTAGTGTGGTAGTTGCTCTCTCCGGGTTATGGGCTGCTCTATGAACACGTTGACATGATAGGTGGGGTCACCCGCTGAGGCGGGCTGTCCGGTCTGAAGTGCTGAAACAGTGATAATTTGTTTGATTGAATAGACTTCTTTAAAATAAATACATATTTTTATTTTTTTGGACGAAAGACAGAACGTGAAACAGAAACCGTGAATTTTTTTGGAAACACGGAGTTGTTTCCTTTGACTCATGCTCATTTCAGTTAATCAGAACGCGGAGCGTACGAGGAGCGTGTGGGAAAAAGACTAGGACGAATTTTGATCGCTCCTTTTTTACTTATTGACAATTTTTTTTTTACTGAATTTTATTAGAGAAACATTTTTATGTAGTTTGAATTGTATTTTCATGTGCTCAGCCGATGTTAATTGCGCGGAATAGTTGCTTGAAATTAATTATTTCCAAAATTTATTTACTGTGGTTACTTCTGCCGAAGCAACCACTTTGATTGAAAAATAGATAAGCTTACAATAGCGAAAGAAAAGAACATTCAATTCATTTTTTTAGAACTGTGATTTGCATAACCTAGGTCTTACTGAGAACAATTCGTGATAATCGTACCGCATCATGAACCAGCTAGTCCACGCAGTTAATATCTACTGAGCACATGAAAATAAAATTCAAACAAAGAGTTGAATCTCGAATTTTGTTGGGAGGGCAGGGGGGGGGGGGTGCGTTCTACCGGCTTAATTTATCCTCTCAACAATGCACTAAAGCAATTATGGTAAAACGTAAATTGAGATGTTTACAGTGACATAATTTCCTACTAAAAAAGGTAAATTCTTCCATTGAACTTTGACACAAACTGACCTTAAAAGTCTCAAAAAAAAACCCTGCTCCCTCAGTTCTGATTCCTACCCGAGCGAGCACGGCACCCACGAAAAATAGAGTCCTTAAAGCAAAGTTTCGTTGCTTGAGGGTGTCATTTTTTCTCAGAGGGGTAAGTTATTATTTTTGAAACTCTTCCTTTGCAATCTTATCCTTTACAGTGTATTTCCAATTCGATGACGCCAAATTAATTACTGAATTTTACGCCACGATGGCATTGAGCAGCCACTTTTTCAAACCTTGAAATAATTTACCTAGGAGCAAAAATATTCCTTTCAGTACCCCTCTAAATCACTCTATGTACGTGCACCGCAAGTAAAAATGCTTTCCCTTTGCAACGCGAAAAATAGATCCGAGGGCCCTTAAATGAAAGTCTCGAAGTTAAGGATCAAAGTCCAATTGGGGCCTCGTTAAAAAGCTCGGATTTTTTATAGTAAAAACTCTTTACCCCAAATTCGAAGCCGACTTTGGACGTAATGATTTTACTTAAAAACCATTGTTTCTTGTAAACAGAATGATCGAATCTTTCAAAATACGACTTAAAGGGAAAGAAAACGTTAGTTTGAAGACATTCAAAGACCAGTTACCCGCTTTTACGCGTAACTTCAGTTTCTATTTATGGAACATTTCAGACCATTGTTTCCAATGATTGTTAAACTTCTTTGTTCAATGTTCTTTATGGGACTTTTTCGGGTGTGTGACAAACCAAGACCAAGTGACGCAGCATGTGAACGTTGGTAGAATCATAGTGATATAGATTGTTTTAGCGCATTTTTGATCGACAGAAGGGCGAATTGACCTTAAAAGGTTAACTCATCTTGCTGCTTTCTTGTAAGTTGTAGCAAAATACATGTATGATGTATAAGGCTCAGTTTGATTTAGGTCTAGGTCTAGGTCTAGGTACTCATACGAAAACTCCCTTTAACAGAGATATTTAGTTCCTTTTCTTGAAGGTTGATTCTTTATAGTCTCAGTCTTGCCATTTTTTCGGGTTGATGATCACTATTTTCGAGCCAAATTTCTCGATGATTTTAATTTCCAATATGATTTCGTGTGGACTGTCAATGTTCTTTTGAAGGGAGACTGCAGTGTCAGTGTTCCCAGGAAAACGTTGACACTAAACGAAAAGGTGTAATTATCAGCGAAGATATCGACAATAGCTGAGGGTATCTGGTTGATGAAAGTAAGAAATAAAAGGGGGCCAAGAATGCTTCCTTGAGGGACCCCATTGTGTAACCCTAAGGATGGTCGAGCTGGTGCCGTTTATGCGGACATACTGCTTTCGATTAGCAAGGTTTTCTAAACAATTGCAAGTTAAAATCATCAATTTAATATGCCTTCAGTTTAGCAAGAAGAAGGTCATGTCTTGTTATAGTCACATATGACCAGCCACATTATTGTTGCAATATCAAAGAGCAACTGGTTCTACACTGTAAATCGGTCGGATCAACTTGGTGCAGTTTCGGTTGAATTTTCTTTTTTCGAAAACCAGACTGCAATCAGACAGGCCTTACAGCAGGTTATTTCTAGAAAGGTACGAGTACACTGAGTCATACATATGCCTCTCAAAGGTCTTGGATCGAATCAGATAATTAGAAAATTGGAGAATGTCGGAAAATTGTATTATCCGTTCTTACGCTGACAACCTCTTAAAATTCCGCGTGGAATTTTGCACGCCAAGCAAAGTGAAATGTAAACGTTTGAAAACATTGGGATTTTTCTTTATAATTTTTTTTTCGCCGCTATCGCCTTTCCTTTAAATAACAACATTTGTTTGTTTTTTTTTTTTCAGAATGCTTTCAGATAACCCATTGGAGGTTATTGGATCACATGCATTTACAGTTCCAACAAATGACCTATTAGTGTAGGTTTTCGAAGTATTAGAGTATTGAAATAAAGGAAAACGATTTTTTCCTTTCCTTTTTTTTTACTCTACTTTGTAATATATGATTTCTGGAATATATCCTTGGTTTCCAATATTATCTATAAAAATTCTGAAATAAGCTCTTGTTTTCCAGAACGCTTTTTTTGACTTCATAATTAAGCGAGCAACTAAAAAACCCCGAAAGCTTTTTCTATTTCAGCTGCTGTACATCAACTTAGATGTATACCTGCTTTTCGCTGTGTTGCGTATTGTTTTTTATGTGTTATTTTTTATGTCCTGAATAATGTAACACTTGGCTGACGTCACAAATCATAACGATCACCGCAAAATCAGATAACGAGATTGTATGTTACGGATGGATCAAGGTTCATTTTTACTTTTTCATAATTAACAAATAAAGAAGCATTGCCTTTACTCTTTTCTATCGTAAAGCACGCAGGAAGCGGCTAGAAGTACGAAAGAAGTGTAGGGGGAAACACGTTTCTCCGTCCTACTTCTGTTGTGCTCTAGCCGCTTCTTAAGTGGTTTACAACAGAACAGAACACAGGCAAGCTTCTTTATTTGCTTTATGATAAAGAATCCGTTAAAGCGTTAAATTCCCCAGGCATTGCTTTCTATTTTCTAAAACAGACTTTATTTTCACAGGGGACCAGAGTGTCGTCAGCATGTTCTACTCTGACTCAAAAAACACTCTAGAATTAGCTAATCACAATCATTTTTACACTGCAAGAAAAATTTGATTTACACCAAATTTATATACTGGGAGAAAGTATGATGCAAAAAGTGCAAACTAAGGTTAAATCGAGGTCAAAGATGGTAATTATACCGCATTTACCCACGAATTTACAGCCCCATGTAAACTGGTACTCTCCACATAAAACATGCTTTTTCAACCAATCTTATGGCGTGTTGTATCGGAACTTTATTATAATAAATGATAAATAACAGGTGGCTTAGGTGGAGATCTCTCGAACAAGGGCAAAAAATGCACGAAAGAGACAAAAGCGATAAAATAAGGAAGGCGAAGAAGCAAAAAAAGGCCTAGAATGAATTAATAAAAGGAGAGAACTTTTCAAGATTAAACAGGTTTGAAAAGATAAAAGTTTGGTAATAATGAAGTCTCTCAAAATAAAATCCATGCATATCTGTGAAATACAGTGCTGTGGATCATGATTTAGAGATTCATTTCATCAATTAAAACCCTTATTGTCAGTAGTCCTATTTTTACGCTGACCCTATATGCACTTTACAACTAACTGACCGGCCAGGCCATTCCCGTCGTAATGAGAATTTCACTTTTAATCAAAACTATCCAGCCAGATCAGTCAAATCCTAAATAGCATGCACGAAGGAAATAGTTTGGAAAAAGTCTATTTCATTTTCAAAATGGCCTGTCCGTCCATGGTCCGAACGGCCAGGTCTGACTTTTGGAGAGCGCTTTAAGTTAAACAGACGAAATAAAAGAATACTACTACTTTGATACAAATTAAAGTTCTTTTATTATTCCTCGTAGAAGGATCTCTCCCAATGGTAACTGAAATTGTCAAAGTTGCCAACAAGAAGATGCGTCAGGCTTGAGAAAACAAATGCAAGCGAAGTAAATTTTCGCACTCCCTTTTAAGTCTATCCTTCCTCTCCTTTTTTTCTAGCGTGAAATGTTTTTCATTTGATTTTATTGGTGCTGCCCTGACACTAGTTCAAATTAAATTAAATTATTTGTTTAGAAGAAAACTTTACATTGGAGATCCTGACGTAAGATTCTACCAAATCAAAACGGTGGAAATGCGGTGATCTATTATATTATAATCAACGCTTCTTCCATTTTCTTTAAGATACATGATACGAACAAACATAAAGACAGCTAGCCTTACATCTTTCCACGGAATTAAGGAACATTTCACGACTAAAATGTAAGTACGTTTCATATGTAAATTATACTTGCAGTTGAATATCACAACAATGTCTTAGACTCACAATTGAAAAAAAAAATTGAGACGGTAAGGAAAAAAGCGCCTTTTACAGTTCGTCTGGCCTTTTCCGCGATCTCAACTAGTCGAAACGAGCGAAAAGAAAGTCAAAACTGGATCACAAAGGTGGACATTGAGAGCTAGGAAGGGAGGGCCGTATTTTTTTGTGACGCTAAATCTTTTCTTCATTCGCCATCACTAAATGGTGTGTTGAAAGCAATACAAATATCTCGTCTAGTTTTGTAACAAAAGCCATAAAGTGATGAGTTTAATACTGCGGATCACTGCGATGTAGCAAATATTTACTGAAGTACATTTTTCAACTTTTTTATTGTTCAGAGGGAAAAATTAAGATTTCAGTTGCTCTTTTGTTAAAAAAGGGATACTATCAAGCTAAATAGCTGCACAGAGGTTAATCTTTTGACTTCCTGTACAAAAAAGAACGCCTGTAGTTTCCTGCTACCTAGACTCACCTAGGCAAACGGTTGATTTTTCCCGCTTCATCAATGGCGCACAGAGACAATACATGTGCGGCGAAACTTTGCTTTGTACTTTTTCCCTTTTCCTCGCTATTTTACCGTTTTCTCTCGTCAAATACAGTACAATTGGACAGTTTATTTACAAAAATGCTAAAAACGTGTACGTGTCTGTCAGTCTGTAAAATTCGCCTTTTCCCTGGTCCAGATTTAAGAGAAAATTTGCAAAGCACAATAACTTTCGCGGATTCAAAAACAGAAAACAAACCTGTAAAAGCTTCCACAACAGTTCCGCCGGGACCTGATTGTATCAGTTGCATATTTTTTCAGTTTACAAACTTAGCGATTCTAATCGTCACTCTACCGCTCTTTTTCAATAGAAGTTTGGAAGAAGGAAAAATTGGGATTATGGCATTCTGGGATGGAAGATTCAACTACACAGTTCGTCTGTGAGTGAATTAGTATGATAACAAAGATATCAGAAATATGAATATTATGTGCAGCTATTTTTGTCTTCATCATTAGCCCCTAGATAGCGATTACTTAGTCTTCTTTTTTCTTATTTTTCACTTTAGCGGCGTAGGGCATGATGATTCTGAATATATCGACGTCTCCTCTTTCACAGAATGGTCTTGGATTAATGACCAACTACTACCAGCTTTCAAACAATCTGGATTTGCCAATCAAAGTCTTGGCAAATACAAATTACTTCCATGTTCACTGGGGTGGTTCGTTAATGCCTCCTCTGAAGGCAATAAATGCATAGAGTGTCCAGCAGGTAACTTAGTTCTTAGTGTAACTGACAATACATCTTTAAATCGTGGAGATTCCCTTGATATGGACAATCTGCTCTCGTTGTTTAACGTGAACTTTATAGAGCATCAGATGAAGTGTTTTCCTTTCTTAAGAGAATACTTAAATAAAGCAGAGAGATCTTTCGGATGTCTACAATTTTTTTTAACTAAAGAACAGTCCTCGCCGGCCATTTTTTGGGTCTGATTGGAAAGCAAGTATCAGGAAAGAAATCCAGTTCCGGTAGTCTGACAGTGACGATGTTGATCCACTAAAATAGGATAATCATAATATTAGTAATTATAAATACAGTAACAGTTTCAGGTATTGGAACTGCTTTTTATCCACGATAATTGAGGCCGCCATCTTTTTAAATTACCTGACTACTGTTGACTGCGAGTTACAAAATGAATCTAACATCCTGCTCGAATCCCCAGCTAATATGAAGCAAACGTTTAATTGTTTTGATTGTACCATGTGAATAGGCTTCAGTAGCCTAAACTAATGTGCGTTATCTCAGTAGGTTTTTTTTGTTAGCTGCTTGTCTCGCTAAAAACAAAACAACTTCTGGGACAAGGTTTAAAATTACGTTGCAACTTGCCTGTCTACCCTCTGATAATCTATAAACCTTACTAAAATAGGAGAGCCGACCTTTCAAGAACCTTGGTTAAACTGTATTCCTTCATTTTTAAACCTGTTTTGTAGGCAAAAAAAGTGCCCCTTCCTAAAGAACAAGACAGGCTAACGCTATCGCTAAAAACTTCGCACAGTTTTAGTACCTCTTCAGCTTAACAGATTAACGTGATGAAATGTCATTTATGACCTTATGACGTTATCAGTGTAAAAGTTGACATTTTTCACCATTAGACACATTTTTCTCGTCCTTAGAATCCAATTTCGTTGATGGTGTTATTTACAACAACAACAACAACCGTATTTAGTACTCCACATTGATTTACATTGTATAAAAAATACTATTGAATATATAGAGAATATAGGCTGCCCATAATAACCATTGAGGGTTAAAAAGATAGGGCAGCCTTACATAGGTTATTAATAAATGTTTTTATTAAGGGTTAGGTACACACACGACACACAGCTACACAAAACACACACACACAAAAGGGAAAAAACTAGTAAATAAAACGAAGAAGAAAAATTTTTGCACTACTTCTTAAGCTTGATCAAACGAAGATTCCCGGCCCTATAAATTCACTTTTGCCCTCGTGGAGAAAGTGTGGGTAAAAAGGGAAAAAACGTCAAGTACTCACATTCTCATTGGGGTCAAGTCCCGTTAGAGTGGACACGCTCGGGACCACGGGTCAGGGGAGCAAGGAGAAATTTCTTTTAAAAACTTTGGTTTATACATTAACGTGTTAAGAATTAGATTTGGTGTAGAAACAACTTTAGCTGACAAATTATTTGGATGGACTGGACGAACTTATTAATGGTAGCAAGACTAGTCTGCTGGCCTAAAGAGGTGGAGAAGATGGAATTTCAATTGATACACCGCAACAGAAGAAAAGCGATAACCTGAAGAAAGAGAAATTAGATGTTTTAAAAGAGAGAAACCAATGTTACCGCTATTAAATGTTGAAAGATCCCGCTCTTTTTCCATCAAAATGAGAGTTAAAACAGTACAAATTTGTTGTCAGGGTCGATAAAAAGTGTGTCTGAATCCTTCAAATGTTTTAGTCCGCAAACGCCTGTAATCTTTGCCGGGGATTTCGGTACAAGAGAGATGTTACTAACAGCGACGCGGCCTCAACGCGAGAGAATTGACTTTATTTCTAAGAATTTTAGCAGTGAAATGCCGTTTTTCTTTCTACTTGAAAGAATTGTGAAATTAAAGATCAAAACATCACAAGACGGTCATTTTGAATTTCGACGCTGAGTTATTCCGACTCTCAAGCCTATAGTTGCCTTGTTAACAATATATAACGTCAGCAAAGATATTATAGTAAGGTTTTTCTTAAAAAAAAAAAAAAAACAAGCAAACAAACAAGAAAACGAACGTGCAAAAAAAAACAACAAAAAAACAAAAAATGACTTAAGATTGATAATGTGCCTACCTGCCTACTTGC